CCAGTGGCTCCACAGGCTGCCCTGCCAGGGAAGTGGGCATTGCTGGGCTCAGTGTGCTCTGGCAGGTGCTGTGGGGGTCAGGAATGTCTCGGCACTCTATAGGATGCTGCTGAAGGCAGGGACAAGGGCAGGGTGGCCTGTGACATCCCTGTTGTATCTCCTGGGAATGCAGAGTGAGTGTCTCCAAGGTTGTCATCCCTGCACCCCACCTGTGTGTGCAATTTCAGTGTTGTTCCAGCCTGGGGTCCATCCCTGCTCCCCCAGAGCCTGTCTGTAGTGGTGCACACAGGTAAGGTCACCCTGCCTGGTGGTTCCCACCCAGCTCCTGCTGCCACTCATCTGCTCCCTGCCCAGTTCTCCTGCTTTTTCTCTGCCTGTCACCAACCTCCCCTGTGTCCTGGAGGGTACCAGGGCCGGTGGGACCATCCCACCAGGTCTCCAGGGAAACACACAGATATTTTCTCCATTGACAAACATCACCTTTGCCCTCCTTTGCTGCCTGTTGTTAAAAGAGACCATTGGCAGAGTCTGAGCTGACAGCCTGTGTCAGCCCCTGGGGCCTGTCTGATGGCTGGGAAGAGGCAGCAGAGAGGAGCTGACACACAGGGTGGTTGTCACTGCCTGAATCCATCCTGGCTCTTCGTGGGAGACAGGATCCATCTGGACCTCTTCAGGGTCCATCCTGGATCCACACAGGCTCAGCCATCCCTGACTATGACAGAAACATAAACCAGCCCTTTGCAGGGATGGGGCAAAAGGCAGACATGGGGGTCCTGTCAGAGCCCCAGAGCCAGTCAGTTGTGCAGGACATGGCCCCACACGTGACATCTCCTGCCCAGCTGGCATGGGCAGCGGGTCCCTGCCTGGCACCTGCTTCAGGCCACTGCCCCAGGGCTCTGGGGTCCTTTGGTTGGATTCCAGCTCTGGGCCCGGAGTGGAGCAACCCCAAAGCCCGCTGAGGCATCCCCACTAGTGCTTCTGAGGAGAGGCTCAGGAGACTCATGGGAACAGGGCAGGCCTGAGGGGCTGTGAGAGGAGGTGGAGACATCATGTTCCCCAGCAGTGTTGTGATGCCAGGCTGGCTGGTGGTGTGGCAGGGCAGGGATGGCCTGGCCTAGATGAGAGCAGAGCTTGCTGGCTTTGCAGCCCTCTCTGCACCCCTGTGAGTGTTCTGTCAGTGCTTCCCCATTCTCTTCCCCTCTCGCCATCAGCACAGATCCCTCCTACCCTGTGCTGGTGCCACAGACCTGGGCCCCAGCAGCACAGGCAGGTGGTGGCTGTATCCTGCATTACAGAGGCACCCACCCTGTCCCAAAATGCCCCCCACAAACAGAGGTGAGGTATGGGGAGAGAAGGACAGTGGACTGTGCAGAACTGCACAGTGACCTGCCCACCAGGCACCGTGTCTGTGATCTGCTGCTGTTCCCCGTGGTGGCAGACCCAATGCCTCACTCAGGGTCACTACAAACACCACCCTGGTGCCAGCCCCGTGGCTCGACCCTGTGTCCCTGCCAGCAAGGAGCAGGGCATGGTGCTCAGCAGCCTTGGGTGGTGGAGACAGCTGCTGTCTGGCAAGGCATGGCTTTCACAGGCAAGCAGCCCAACACTTGTGCTGCATCCCAGGCTCTGGTGGCCCCAGTTGCTGCCTTGATTTCTCCTCCAGTGTCAAAAGCTCCATGGCTCCATCCTTCGGCTCTCTGGCAGGAAAGGTGTCCCTGGTCCCACAGCAGTTAGGGACCCCCCTCAGTCCCGACAGCAGGAGGAAATAAACTAAAAAGCTCACAGTTGCTTTTCCTCCAGATCTGGGCCATCTGTGGCCATGAGCACCAGGGCTTCCCCACCGTGAGCTGACAGGAATATTTCTGATGCCTGGAACTGGGATAGGACAGGTGTGCTGTGAGCTTCCATGGCTCAGACCTACGGCTGCGGCGAGACAAAGGGGACTCAGAGGCATCACACAGCATCTCCCAGCAGCAGCAATGCATGGTCCAATGTGGCAGCTTCCTGAATTTCTGAGGCCAGAAAGCACAACCCAGAACAGCTTTCAAGAGTGGACAGGCCCACGGTCTGTCGTGGCCGTGAGCTGGAGGAGCAGCACTGGGCAGACCTGCATTCTGCCTCTGCACTGCTGCCCTCTGGCTGCCTCTGCTGATCCACAGCCAGTCCTTCGGCTGGAGAGGTGGGACCTGCCGTGGCTGTCAGAGGCTCTGCCTCTTGCTATGCAAGAACCATCACAGAATTGTTCAGGTTGGAAAAGCCCTCTAAGATCATCAAGTCCAACCATTAACCCAGCACTGTCATGTTCACCACTAACCCATGTCCCCACGTGCCACATTCACACACCTTTTGAACACCTTCAGGGCTGGTGACTCCACCCTGGGCAGCCTGTGCCAGTGTCTGATCACCCATTCAGGGAAGATATTTTTCCTGAAATTAAAGCTGCTGGTATATCCTCCCTGGCCCTTTGGCCTCAGGCAGCTGCATCCACAGATCCATCCTGTGCTGGGGCCAGAGGGTACAGTCCTTAGTGCACAGTTTGTCCAAGGTGAGGTTAAGAAACTTAAACCCCTGTGCAGTGACCAACTCAGCGTTGGTAGGACTCACCACACATATTTCTGCAGTGGATGTTGGCTGATGATGGCTGCTTTAACCATCCCTGCTTACTATCTTCTTTCTAGCTGTTGTCAGAAGAGGATAGAAGAGGGCTAGAAGAGGATCTGTGCCTTCATCATAAAGTCACTGCTGATCCCAGGCCAGATCAGCCTGAGGAAGGCCAGCACTGTTTCCCCTTGCCCAGCAGTGCCTGGGCTCAGGTTTTCTTGCAACAAAAATGGAAGTGACTGCTTTCTAACAGCTTCCTTTCTTTCTGAGTCTCTCTCTCTCTCTCCCTCCTGCCCCTCCTGCCCAGCTCGTTTCCTGTCATTGGTAATGGCCCCTGCACCTGATGAGAGGTAACTGGGCTCAGTGTCCCCCCAAAAAGAAGCAGCCTGGGCTGGGGGCAGCAGGGCCATGCAGAGCAAACCCAGCTGGGCTTGGCTGGGCTGGGCAAAAGGCTCAGCCTGTGTGCTGGCTGCCAAGGTCCCCACTGCTACAGGGTGCTAAGGGACCCAGGAGAGGAATAACATGATGGGTCTTCAGGATTTTCAGGCCTTTTTGTGTCTTTTTCCTTGAGAGCTTCTTTGCCCTGTGTGCTGTGGGAGGAGTTGGGGGGGTTCCTGTTCCTGGGAGACTTCTCCCTGCCCACACAGCTCACAGGGTTTTGCAGGCAGGTGCTGTGCTCTGGAGCCTCCCGAGGGGACATGTGTGTGTGTCTCCTGGCCTGGAGTAGCTGCTGCTTGCTGCCACCCCACGGGTGTCCCAAGCAAGGCAACAGCTCACTCCCCAGGGGAAACTGAGGCACACAGCGTTTTCCAGGCAGCCTTTCTAAAAGCAAAGCCCTCTTAGAGGCAGACAGGGAAGGACAGGACAAGCCCAAGTGACAGATGGATGAGCTGGGTGATGCCACAGGTGCTGGGTGTGCCTCCAGCAGCGTGTCCTGGGTGACCAAGTCGCTCAATGGCTCTTGCTGTGCTTCTCTGGCTTCTCCACTGGCATTTGTTGGCTACAGAGTCAAAGTCTCAGCACCTTGGAGGTCTGGTCCCACGTGCTGGCTTAGATCCCCTTTACTTAGAACCACCCCTTAGGGACATGGTTTAGTGGTGAACAGTTAACAGTTGGACTCGATCTCAGAGAGATTTTTCTACCTTAATATTTCTGTGATTTTGTGGTTCTATGCACCTGACTTAGGAACAATCTCCTATGCAATTACTCCATTGTAAAATGAAGCTGGAGAGCTTGTTCCCACATGAGGAGAGGAATAAACCAAGCTGATATAAAGCACTTTCACTCTGGGAGACCTATCCCAGGGGAGCTGTTCCTGTGCCAAGGCACCCTCTTTAGCCCACAACAGCACCAGCTTTGCATCACTGTTAGCCCACCCTGGTAGGGCTGGTGGTTCACCTGCTCTGCCTTTCTGCTGGCAAATTTGGAGGAAAGCTCAGCTTGTTTGCAGGAGTTGTGGGAGAATATCTAATTCCAGAAACCAAAAGTGGTTCTACTCAGCAGTCATAGAATCATAGAATATGCTGAGTTGGAAGGGACTCATGAGGATCATCGAGTTCAACTCCTGGCCCTATGCAGGACTCCCCAAGAATCCCACCCTGTGCCTGAGAGCATTGTCCAAATGCTTATTGAACTCAGACAGGCTTGGGGCTGTGACCACTTCCCTGGGGAGCCTGTTCCAGTGCCCAACCACCCTCTGGGTGAAAAACCTTTTCCTTTCTACTCTAAGCCTCCCCTGACTCGGCTCCTGCTGTTCCCTTGAGTCCTATCACTGGTCATGAGAGTGAAGAGATTGGTACATGCCCCTCTGCTTCCACTCATGAGGATGCTGAAGACTGCAATGAGGTCTCCCCTCAGTCTCCTCTTCTCTGAACAAATCAAGTGATTGAAAGAAGAAAAAAATCCAGCAGTTAAGCAAGAAATCCAGGTGTTAAACCCTCCTCCTGGTTCTCCTTGAGGAGAGGGCAGAAGCACAGGGGCTGGCAGGATCAGCGGTGATGCCTTGGCAAGACAACCAGCAATTGCTTAATTGCTCCCAGCCCGAGCCAGGCAGGAGCAGGAGCTGCACAGACTGTCATCAGTCACGGGGAGAAAGGTCACACACCGGCTGGCTCTGACTCGGAGCCCGGGATCAGCCCCACGCCGGTGGGATGCCCGAGGGTCCAGGCTCGCCTGCGGCGCTGCCCTGCGGGCTCTGAGCTCCCGCATCCCCGCTTGTGCCGGGGCTGTCCTTGGGAATGCGCTCCCGTGGAGGACTCCGGAATAGCGAGACGCTGTTCTCCGGAAAAGCAATCTGCGGAGGTGCTTCCCTCAGCTCCGGGTCCTCGCTGTCCCCGGGCCGGCGCGGCGGAGTCCCCGGCAAAGGTGCGGTACCTGGGCTGTTCGCACCCCCCCGGCCGGCTCTGCGGGATGCTCCGGGGGATCGCACCGTCCTCCTCACGCCTGCCGGGAGCTGATCGCCCGGTGTGCACAGAGTCTGCTCAGTCCCGAGGCAGCTGCTTCACCTTCAAGCCTGTGAGCGATGTTTAGGCGGTGGAGGAGATGGGCTCGTTTCCAAAAGCCTGCAGGACGTCCTGAGTCCCAGCCGTGTCAGCGGAAGCAGGACCAGCCCTTCCTGAGTGCCGGACCCAAAGGTGATGGGGGCCTGGCGGGACAAGGCAATCCCAGGGAGTGAGGCTGTGGGGCAGCATCTGTGCTTTGGGTGCCAGTTCGGTGCCTGCCTGGGCTGAGGTGACTTTGGGGCTACATTGCTGTTTGGAGAGGATGAGGAGAGGGTGTGTGAATCAAGGGAGGGAGGCTGGGTGAGGAGGCCCATGCTCAGGAGGTCGGGGGGCAGAAATGGGCATAAGGACTGGCTAGGGAAGTGGGAAGAACCGCTCCCAGTCTGGAGCTAGAAGGTGCCCTTTGCACAAGGGGAACTGGCTCTGAGATCACAGCCAGAGGTGCAAGATGATCCCATGGAAGTGGAGTTGTAAACTGCAAGTGAACAACAGCAAGTACCAGCCAGGGATAAATCCAGATTTTCCTTCCCAGAGCACCAACTCTGTAGGGTCCCCACGTGTTGCTGAAAGTAAACCCACAGCCATACCTCAGGGCCTCTGAGGCTCTGGCACAGACCTCTCCAGTCCCTACATCCCAACAGATAATCCTAATGCACAAGTGTTCATGGACACAGGACACAGGGGATCCCAAGCCTGGCACATGCCTGGTTGGGTCAGGGTGCATGGCTGGTGTGGTAAGAGCTGGGACCCTTTCCCCAATGTCTGCCCCTCCATCACCAAGCTTTGCTGTCCCAGCACCACTTTGGACATCATCATAACCCCTGACATCCCACTGGCACCAAGGTTGGAGCAGAGAGGAGAGCTGGGGAAGAAGGGATGTTCCTGTTCTGGGTCCTGACCCTCCTTCCCCACAAGACAAAGGAGGCAGGAAGGTGAGGGGCACAGCTGTGACCTTATGGGACCCTCCTCCTCAGAGCCATTTCCTTCAGTGTTGTTTCCCCCCATAACCTCCTGGGCTTTACCCTCTGGGGAGTCAGGTTCCTCTTTGCCCAGGGCAGATTGCAAAGGGGGTGGCTGCCCTGTTGTCCTGGTCCTGTCCTTACAGTAAACTGTCCCTGGGTTGGGATCTGCCCCCAGACTGGACACCCTCTCCCCTCAAAGCCCAGTCATTCCTAGCCCCAGCAGTCCCTGCTTGTAGGATCCAGCAGCTCCCCCTCTGCACCCCAGGCCAGCCTGATGCAGCTGGTGCAGAGCTGTTGATATGACATGGGATGAGTGTGGCTGCACGTGAAAAGCACAGTCCCTTGCTTTGCACCACTGGCCAGAGCAGCTCCCAGCTCTTTGCTCCCCCCTGTACCCCCCTGAGGATCCAGCCAGGTCCCTCTGGAGGAGCCAGCTGGTAGCATCATGTTCCAAGCTGGTGCTCAGAGGTGGTCAGGAGTGATGTGCCCAAAAGTGCTTGTGTGTGTGTGTGTGTGTGTGTGAGTGTGGGCACGTCTGGGACTTCACTGCTCGAGGTATCTGCCTGCCCTCCGCCTGCTCAGGCAGACACCGATCAGTGACCAGGGACATTCTCTGTGCACATGTGGATGTGCATCTGCTGTGTGCAGCCTGGGGGTGCAGGGGCCATTCCCAGGGGGGCAGCAGACATGTGGCTGGGTGCAACAAGGTGCAGGGGGCAGGTTGTTGTTTCAGGAGTGGGCACTGAAAGCTGAAAAGTGCCCTGGGTCAAGTAGTGTGTTCTGGGCCCATCTGCTCCTGGTCTCCCTCATATCCAGTCTATCTCCCCCATCTCATGCCTCTTTTCCCACCAGCACCTTGTCTTTCAAGGGTCTCCACCAGTCTGTGTCCCATTCCATGCTCCCTCTCCCCTCAAATGCACCTCCTCAGACTGCTGGTGCTTCAGCAGAGGGGAGGAAGAGGAGCTATGCTGGTGGGTGGGAGCACACTGGGTTCCACTCGTGCACCATCAGAGGCATGTAGGGGTCAAAAAATCCCAGCAGTACAGACCTTTCTGTCCCTGGGACCCTGGGCCATGGCACATCCCTGTACCACATCCCTACTTCCCTCCTGCCTTCCCCCCATCCTGGGTCTTGGGTAGAAGGTGGCACTGCCAGCGTCTCCCAGGGGTGCCCAGGGAAGATGTTCTGGCACCTTGGCACCCCCCTGCACACCCGCTCCTGCAAACACACAGGTGTGCACACAGGCAGCTCTCCAGCTCAGTGACCAGCAGTGCTGGCACCACACATCCCAGGGACGGGACAGTGGCCACAAGGAGCTGGGCTGGAGCTGGCCCAGGATGGAGGTGGCCCAGGCTGGGAGCTCTCCAGGGCAGAGCGGATGAGGGGAAAGGTGTTTGGGATGTGGTGTCCATGGGGGATGGGGGGGTTGGGATGTGGTGTCCATGGGGGATGGGGGGGAGTTGGGGTGTGGTGTCCCTGATGTTTGGGGGTTGTTTGGGATGTGGTGTCCATGGTATCTGGGGGTGGTTTGGGATGTGGTGCCCATGGTATCTGGGGTTGTTTGGGATGTGGTGTCCATGGTGTCTGGGGTTGTTTGGGATGTGGTGTCCATGGGGGATGGGGGAGGTTTGGGATGTGGTGTCCATGGTGTCTGGGGGTTGTTTGGGATGTGGTGTCCATGGTATCTGGGGGTTGTTTGGGATGTGGTGTCCATGATGTCCGGGGTTCTTTGGGATGTGGTGTCCATGGTGTCCGGGGTTCTTTGGGATGTGGTGTCCATGGTGTCTGGGGGGTGGTTTGAGGTGTGGTGTCCATGGTGTCTGGGGGTTGTTTGGGATGTGATGTCCATGGTGTCTCGGGGGTGTTTGAGGTGTGGTGTCCATGGTGTCTGGGGGGGTTTGGGAGGTGGTGTCCATGGGAGCTGGGGGGTGCAGTGGGAGCTGCTGCAGCACAGCAGGGTGGGGGCTGAGGAGGAAGGAAGCAGCAGTGTCTGAGCAGAGTCCGGGCAAGAGCAAACAGGAAGAGTGATGGGGATGTGGCAGGAAGGATGTGCAGTGCCATAAGGGCAGACCTGTCCTACCTGAGCCAGACTCTCCAGGGACCTTCCTCCCCAAATACATCCCCTGCCCTGCCCTGCTGCAGAGGGGGAGCCCATATGTCTTCCCCTGAGGTGCCCAGGGATGGTCGTGGGTGCAGAGAGGTGCTGGGTCCCCACATGGCCATGGGTTGGGGGATGGTGGGGTGACACCAGGAGCACACTGCACATGGCCAGGCATTGAGAGTAAGAGGCACTGAGCGAGCCCTGGCTCATCCCACAGTGGGATGGGGAACAGCTGGGGCACAGCCTGGGCAAGAGGATATGGGCAGGAGAGCAGGGATGGGAGGACTCATCCTGGCTTCCTGCAGGAGAGGAGGTGGGGTCTGGTGCCCCCAGAATAACACCACTGCACCACGTGGAGCATCCCACCTCAACCTCTGCCAGCGGCCTCCTGTGGCCAGGTCTTGCCTGTCGCTCCATGCCCCATGGGTGGCACCAGTGCTGGCCATGGCTTGTCCCAGAGAGCATTGAGCACACCCCACCAGCCCCACCGGCGATGCCCGGGGAGGCACCCCGGGGGTTTGGGGGAGGTCAGGCTGTGCCCGGAGACGCAGGATGCAGGACGGGGGTTCGCCGGTGGGGAGCAGGGCTGGGTCTGCAGGCGGCCCAGCGGAGCCGAGCTGCAGAGATGTGGCCGGTATGTGTGTGGGCGGCAGGCAGGGTGGGGGAGAAGGAGGGAGAGGAAGCAGCAGAGGCAGCAGCTCCTTTGATAAGCAGCTTCCTGAACACTTTAAACCGTGGTGTCAGAGCGAGCCGCGCGGTGCCCGCGGGCTTGTGCCGGGACCGACGAGCCCCCAGCGCAGGGCAGCAGGTAGGCAGCCCCCCAGCCCACCCCTGCCGCCCACTGGAGACGAGACCCCCAATGGGCAGTGCCGGGCCCCGTGCCCAGGGGTGGTGGGCATGTGCTTGCAGCCAGGCAGCCCCAGGCAGGGCTGGGAGGCTGGACAGGGTGATAGGAGCACCTCCCTGCAGGTACTGGCAGCTGGGGCTCTTCCTAGGGTGCCTCTTTGCCAGCCAGGGGCTTGGCCAGGGCATCTCCCAGATGTTTCCTGGCTGGAGCACAAGGGACAGCTGCCGGGGTGGGAGCCTGGGCTGTCTCTGGTCAGGGTCTCTCTTGGTGCTGCAGTTCCTGCTCATGCCTTGCCTGTCTGGGGAACACCAGGACACACTGAATGGGGCACAGGGCACAGGGCATGGGGCTGGTGTGTGTGGCAGTGGTGGCACTGCCACCCCCAGAAATGACACTGGGCAGCAGGGAGTCTTGGAGAACATCTCCTGCCCTAGCTGTGTTCCTAACCACCATGTGGACCTGGCTCTTCACAAGACCTCCCTGAGCAGATGGGCTAACAGGGATCCCACTCTTTGCCCACCAAGAGCTCTGATTCTACATCATTCCCTGTCTCCTCATGGAGGGAGCTGGGGGTGAGAAGGAGCCTTAGGATCCCAGTGTGCTGCATGCACTATGAGGAGCTGTTCTCAGAGGTGAACCAGCATCACCCACAAGCCCCCAGTCCTGTATCGCTGGGGCTGGTGATGGAGGAGCCCTGGCACCTCCCCCGGCTGGGCTGCCCCATCACCTCTTGCTCAACCACCCAGATAAAGCAGTTTCCTCTTGACAGTTGCTGAGACCTGCAGGAGGGAGGAGGCTGTCCCAGGTCATCCCTCCCTCGCCAGAGTCATGAGGCTGTTGAGGGAGCCTGGTCTGTGTCTCCCTGCAGCAGGAGCTGGCCAGGCTCCCTGCAGTGGCTACAGCCCACCTCGTGTCACCTGCTGAACACTGCTGGGCTCATGTGTTCCAGCTCTCCCACTTCCCACTGTTTCCCCAGGCTGAAGCAGGCGTGGCAGGGAAGGGCTGGAAACATAGGGCAGCATGTGCTTCCCATGGAGGTGGAGAGCATCTGGGGCTTCCAACACAGAGGGTGGGTGTCCTGCCCTCGGGGGAAGCAGGTGCCATGCCCAGGGTCACCAGTGGTGTCTGTTGGGTTGCAGTGCTGCAGCATCCCAGAGGGTGACTGTGCTGGGAGCTCTCCCTCTGCCATCCACCTGGATACAGAAGCTGGAGGTCCTGATTCCAGGACAACTGCGAACTTAAAACCCATCTCTTGCTTGCAGACCATCTGCTGGGGAGTCCACCCAGCCTCATTGTATGTCCCAGATCTGCCTTTTCCTTTCCAGCCTCTTCTCCTCTGATGGCTCTGTGATTCCCCAAAAGTTGAGGGCCCACCGTGACCCACCCTGTGCTTCAGGACGAGGGCTCTGTGGCTGCTGCAGCATGGTCCAAGCCTGCTTGGTGTGCTCCAGAGTTCATAAGGGCAGCCTGGCAGCCCAGGCAGCTGTGGCAGACATGGACAAGCGGGACAAGCCCAGTCCCTCTGCCAAGAAGCACGTGCGTCTCCAGGAGAGGTGAGTGTGGCTCAGCCCTCATGGGGATACCCACAGCACTGCTCATCCCCAGGGCTCCCCCAGACTTCCCTCCTTACAGCCCTCCACCTGCCAGCACGTGCAGGTGCCAGGTCTGAAGGTGGAGGCAGGCCTGACCCCCCACCCAGCCCAGGATAAATCTCGACACCGCCTTCCAGGGGCTTCCCAGCCAAAAGGCAAAATGAGCAGCTCAAGTTCCTTGTTTCTCAGTCCTCCCATCTACCGGGGTCTCTGCCTGGCTTTTGTTCAGTGTGGGGTGGTTTTAACTGATGATATGGTGGGATGGGCTCTCCTTCTGTCCCTGGGTGGCAGTGGGTCAGCCAGGGACCCCTTTGCCTTGCAGGAGGGGCTCCAACGTATCACTGGTGCTAGACATGAGCTCTCTGGGGAGCGTGGAGCCCATCCAGCCTGTCTGCACACCACGGGACATCACGCTGAAGTTCCTGAGGACATCCAGCCACGTGCTGAGGAGACAGGAGCTCCAACAGCATGCCCAGTGCCTGGCACAGCTCCAGGAGGAGTTTTCGGTGCGACGCTTCCCTCTTCCTCCTCACCGCAGGGGTGGCAGGGGCTGGTGATGGTGGCACAGACAGGGGTGGACAACTCTGAGAGAGGTTCTGACCCCAGCTGTGCCCCACAGCCCTGGTGGTGGGGCAGGCAGAGTGGGCAAGCAGAGGGCAGGGGTGCCCAAGGTACCACCCTCTCCCTGGTGCAAACACATCCTTGGGGTCCCTGGGGTCCTGCCCTCCCATGACAAGCTCTTCTCCCAAGGTGGCCTCTCTGGAAAAAGTCCCACATCATCTGGGGTAAGGACAGGGCTCATCCCAAGAGCTGGCATCTCTGGTGATGCCAGTGGGTCCCTGGGCCAGCTGTGCACTTCTGAGGGACCAGCTCTGCCACCACCAGGGTACACAAGTGGCAGTGATGAGCCTTTCCTCACGCCTGTTCTCTTTCCCCTGCAGAAAATCCCACCCAACTTTGTGAATCCAGAGGAACTGGAGATCCCTGGACGTGCCTTCAAGGACAGATACAAAACCATCCTCCCCAGTACGTGCCACTGCATCCCTTTGCCTCCCATTTGCCCATCTTTGTTTGCTCATGGGAGAGGGATGACTTGGAGCAGCCCTGGCATGGGGGTGGGCGTGCCTGGGTGCTCTTGGTGTTCCTGCTGTGTTTGTTCCTACCTCCCATGTAGCAGGAGCTGGGTGTTGCAGGGGGTGCACACAGTGCTAGGGGGTGGTACATGGGGAGCTACTCCCTGGGATGTCCTGCCTACAGTGCAGGATAGCCCAGCCTGGGTTGCACCTGCCACCCTGCAGTCTTACATGTCCCAAGGACATGCCCCTAGGGATGTAAAGGCTGAGGATGTCGTGGAAGGACTCGTCTGGGCTCTAGTCAGGCACTGTGGGAATGTCCTGGGGGGGTCGTGCCCGGCAGGTGAACTAACCCATGTGCTCACTGTGGTACGTGCAGGTTTGGGCACATACCTGGGCTGTACCTTGCCAGGGCACTGAGGGTGAAGTGGGGCGAGTACGGGCCTGAGGGAGGGTGCAAACAGCTCTGAGTATGGCACGGAGTGGGAGGACTCAGCCTGCAGTCCCTGAGGCTGAGACAGGGAGGATGAGTAGGGTCAGTCCCTGGGGTAATACCTGCCATGTCTTCCAGATCCTGAGAGCCGGGTCTGCCTGCGGAGGGCAGGGAAGCAGGAGGAGGACAGCTACATAAATGCCAACTACATCACGGTGGGTGTTCTGCCTGGGCAGAGCGTGGGCAGGCTCCCAGGTCCTGCAGCCCATGGCTCAGGGCAGTCTGCAGGTGTCACACTGTCACCCACTGCCCTGGGCCTGCCCTGGGGCAGCAGTTTTAACTTGCCACCCCTTTTGGAGCTGGAGAGATGCAGCTCTGCCCGAGCAGGGCAGACACGCTGCTCCTTTTGCTGGGAGAGGTTCATGAGGGGGCTGCTCTCAGCTGTCCCTCGACAGGCTGCTTTGCAAGTGCTCCTCCATCTCCTCACACACTGGCCCACTGTCTGGCAAGGCCATGGGAGGCAAGCTATGCCAGTAGAGCATGGCAGCTCAGAGATCCTCAACCCTCACACATCCAGGGATTTCTCTCTGCTCAGGGGGTTTGTTACAATTTCCCAAGAGGAAAGCTTAATGAAGGTGGGGTTTGTAACAATTTCCCAAGAGGAAAGCTTAATGAAGGTGGGGCATGGCTTATTTTTGGCACCTGATTAGGTCCCTTTCCAGAGACTGAGAAATCCCCAGACCCAAGAGTGTTACTTAGACAACCTGATTTTGATATCCATCCCTGTGCAAACCCTTCCAGGCTGCAGCCTCGCTTGTGCTGAACCACATATCACCCTTAAATGGGATCTTGTGTCAGCCAAGTGCCAGGTGCCTGGAGGGCAGGTTTCTTTCTGAGCAATTCATCTCACTTTGGCATTCTTCCCTTGGGACTGGCCAGGGTGCTGGGAAGCAGAGGTGGGGCCACAGACACTGTGAGTGCGTGGCAGCAAGGGGAAGTGGGACTTGGAAAAATAGCCCACAAAAAGTGCTCTCTGGGGTGATGGACAGACCCTTGATCACATCAGCCCCACCTGGGATTGATGCTTTCCCTGCTGATGGTGTTCCATGAAATGTTTCTGAGTGTGAGATTTTAGGTCTTTTAACTTGCCTAGTAGTGCATGTAAGGCAGTCATCAACAATTGTCTTATAAAGTTAGCCCTGAACTTTAGTGATTAGATTAAATTCCCTGGGGAGACCCACCATACACACACACCTTAAGCGGGGCTTAAGGGCAGTACACAAATGCAGATAAGCAAATGAACTTATACATCAATTCTTCAGAGGACAGTCCTTAACAATTTTAAACTGAGATCTCTTTTGACAAAGCTGTACAGCTTTACAGCTCTGCCTGGAGTGCTGTGTCCTCGCTTTTCCAAAAGCTGGGGTGCTTGGGGGTGCCTCCCCCAGCATCTCTGTGGCATCCTCAGCTGGGTCCCAGACTCCTTGATGTGTTGCCAAATGGAATGTCCAGCTGGGAGCTGGAGTAACTTGTTACTGACCCTGGGAGAGAGATCTCCTACACCTCTGCTTGTACATCAAGCTCCTGCCAGCTGCTGCTGCACACTGTCCAGGGCCGGGGGGTGAAGCAGGAGATGAGCAGGACTCGGAGCTTTTAGATATCTTTAGTAATTCTATGCTGGGGGAGGAAGTGGCAGTGGAGGCAGAGAACTCTTGGAGCTGTGAAACTGGGACTCTTGCTTGTCCTTGTGGAAATGCCCACAGTGAGGAGTGCAGGTCCCTGCGAGGGCTCTGCCTTGCCAAGGCATCCACCATGCTGGCTGTCGTCACCAGGGGTGCTTGCAGGAGCTTGGGTGCACAAGGCCAGCTCCGTGGACTTGCTCGTGGACGTTGGGACCAGCAGGATGGTGAGGATGCCTGGTATGCCCTCATCAGGTCTGTAAAAGCATTTCAAGGACAGGTTTAGTAGGAAATAATGTGTGTGGCTCAGGCTTTCACCTGTAGAGGCAGAAAAGGCCGGTAAGGGTTGGAGAGGTCTGGAGACAGGCCCCCCCCTCCCCTCGGGGTCCCCCCAGCTTCCCTGATGGACCGTGTGCTCGGCAGGGCTACGCGGGGCGGCCCCGGGAGTACATCGCCACGCAGGGCCCCATGCTGCACACCGTGACCGACTTCTGGGAGATGGTGTGGCAGGAGGAGGCACCCCTGATCGTCATGATCACTGAGCTCCAGGAGCGCAAGGAGGTACCAGCGCCCCTCCCGGGCACCGCCCCCAACCAGGGCCACGGGGTGGGGTGGGGTGATGCCAACAGCGAAGGGTTGTGCGAGGGCAGGCGTGGGGGTCTGTGCACGTGCTTGCTGTGCTTTGGTCTCCGAGGGTTCCCTGATGGATCAGGTGGAGGAGGAGGGTCCCAGGGCTGCAGCCCTGGTTCCACGCAGCAAAGCTGCTCTTCCTCACATGGCCTCGAGTTCTGGGCATGCTTTGCCAGCTGGATTAGAGGCTAAAGGGATTAGAGCAACCCCTGGGCAGGGGGCAGAAGCAGCAGGCAGCAGTGCCCCTCTGGCCCCCCACAGCTCTCCCCTGGGTTAGGAGCTCTCAGCCAGGAGATTAAGCTGGGGTGGGAGCCTGCAGTGCTGTGCCTTTGCTGGGAACCCTGGCTCGCCATCCAAGCAGCACCAGCCTGGGGGAACTGAGAACTGAAAACTCACTCTCTCTTTCATGGCCATGTCCTTGCTCCCTTCTCTCCTGACTGACAGCCTCCCTGTGCCCTGGGTCCTGCTGGGCCTGGAAGCTCCCAGGGGCTGGGGAGAGCTATGCAGCCCTGGGGTCTGAAAGCCAGGGCAGGCATGGGAGTGGCTGAAGGGCAGCAGATGCAGGGAGAGGGATCTATCCCTTCTTTGCTTCCCCTCTGTATCACTTCCACATCCACCTTCCCCACTCCCCCACGTCCCCCCAGGTGATGCCCCTTCCCAAGAGCACTGAGCCAAGCACAGCTCAAACATCCAGCAGGTGCCTTGAGCATCTCACAGCCACAAAACCTGACTTGTCCTCCAGAAATGTGTCCACTACTGGCCTGAGAAGGAAGGCACCTACGGCCCCTTCACCGTGCGCGTGCAGGGGCTGAGCGAGGGCGCGGAGTACGTGGTCCGGGATCTCTGCATCCAGGTGGGTTCCAGCCCCACCCTGGGGTTAGAGGGGCAGTGCAGCGGGGCCCAGCTGTGCCCCTAACACCCCTGGGGATCTGTAGTGAGATGGCAATGCTGTGTGATAGGAAAGAGGGGGGTTCATGGTTCTCAGGATCCCCCTGCCAGAGGAGAGGCCTGCAGAGCTCCTGCCTGGGGGGGCTGGGAGGGAGCAGGACCCAGCCCTGGGGTGTGGAGGAGAGGGGGTCAGCTGGGCAGAGTAGTGCTACCAGCCCACTGTTGTTTGCACTGTGTTGCTGGGCTCTGCCCCATGGGCTCCCCATGGTCACCCTGGACTGACACTAGCCTAAAGGATCTTGTTTGCTTTGTCTGGACTCTGGGGACAGTATTGGGACACTGCATCTGCTCCCATCTTCTGGGACGGGACACATCCCATTTTCCCTGGCCCAGGGGTCTCTCCTGGGTGTCTGGCAGAGGCTCTAAAAGGGATTTGGGAGGAGAGCAGCTGAGATGGGTACAGGCTGCTTGGCTTCTGCTTGAGCTGGACTATCCTTTCATTTGGCCAGTGCTCCCACATCCTGATTTCTCTTTCTTCTGTGCTGAAAAAGCTTGAAGGAGAATGTCGGGAGGTCAAACACATCCTCTTCCCTTCCTGGCCGGACCAGCAAACACCCGAGTCAGCCAAGCCTCTGCTGCACCTGGTGTCCAAGGTGGAGGAGACTCTGCAGACTGCAGCCAGCCCAGGGCCCATCGTGGTGCACTGCAGGTAAGAGCTTGCACCTCACCTGATTCCTGTCTGTACTTCACTTTGGAATCAGCCTGCCTGAGAAAAACCCACATGTGAATGCTCATGTGCTGGTGCTGTGCAGAAATCCCAGGACACAGCAACCCCACAGCAGAGTTGTCAACCAGCAGGCCCTGTCCTGGCAGCAGGATGGAGGCATTAGCCTGGCACATCCTGCACCTGGGTCCATGGACAGCAGGCTGCAGGAGAGGTCTGCAGCCGGGACCCAGCCCCATGGTACATCCACAGCTCTGGCTCTGGAAGACCCTGCTTGACCCCTGGGTGATCCCTTCCAACCTGGCCCATTCTGTGACTCTGTGATTCCTGCTCACTCTGCCACTGAGCATGGCCTGTAGCTTGGTTGTGGAGCTGTGTTTCAGGGCAGCCCTCCTGCAGGAGGTGGCCTCTGCCTATTTTCTCCCCCTGCTAAGTGAATTTGGGGACAGCAGAGCAGAGCACCTGATTGTCCCTGTGGAACACACTCATCACTCATCATGTGCTGCTGCAGGCTGGGTGCTAACTGCTGAGGGCTGAGGTCAGAGCCCAGCTGGGAGGGGAAGGGGCTGCAGAGCCCCCTGCACAGTGCAGGGACGGGGCATGGGCTGGTTTTGTGCTTCCAGAGCAGCCTCAGCCATGCTGTGCAACACAGCAAGACCCCCTTGCCATTGGCAGAGTGACCCCAGCCCATGCCTTTTGGTGCCTGGCTAAGGAGGTTGGTCTGGCAGCTGGGACTGGGGCCCCAGCATCCCTCTAGGAAGAAATCACGGCAGCAAACCAATCCAGGAGTGCATCCAGCCCAGGCAGATGGAGGTCCATGCAGTGGCTGCTGTCGGTGCTCAGCACAGCTCTGTCTGTCCTGCAGTGCAGGCATCGGCCGCACAGGCTGCTTCATCGCCACCAGGATGGGGTGCCAGCAGCTGAAGGACAAGGGGGAGGTGGATATCCTGGGAATCGTGTGCCATCTCCGCATAGACAGGTGGGTGCTCAGAGCAGGAGGCTCCTTGGAGGGTCCTGCTGGGTGCCAAGCCTGGGAGGAGGGATGTGGGAGGGGCGTGGGCATGGGCATCCCGAGGGGGCACGGGGACTATTTTTGGTGGAAACCAGAAGGGTTGCTGGAGGATGCAGATGTGTGGAAAGCAAACAATTCCCAGTGCCAGGCTGGTTCTGCTGAGATCTGACCTGAGGATATGAGGGACAGGAGAGGGGCTCTGAATCTGGCAGCCATCTGCTCCTTCCCTTCCAGCTCAGCCATTAAATCCAGAAACACTCTGTCTGGCCCCTTTTCAAGAAGTACTGGTAAATACTAGAGCCAAATCAGTTTCTAATCTCATTTTGAACAGCCCAGCAATGCTTCTGAGCCCCTGTACTCTTTGGGCAGCTCTGGTGCCTGTTTCAGAGGCATCTAAACATGGTTGGTGATGCAGGAATATTGTGCCCCAGGAGCAGAGAGCTGGGAACGGGGTTCTGGGTTTGGTTAAGTGTCAGTGGGCCCTGCCTTTCCCTTGCAGAGGTGGGATGATCCAGACGAGTGAGCAGTACCAGTTCCTCCATCACACTCTAGCTCTCTACGCTTCCCAGCTGCCAGAGGCTGGAGGTCACTAGCACAGGGCTCCCACCAGGCTTCTAGCTCCCCACTCCAACCTCTCCTGCACCAGCCTCGGGGACACCTCCACCAAAACCTCTCCTGACGCTGCCAGGCCACAGAAAAGCAGCACAAACATCCCTTGGGATGAGCACAGCTGAGGAAACCCACGGGGGCTGTGGCCTTGGACCCTGGGGACGAGTGAGGTGTGGTGGGTTCACGTGAGGGGTGCACTGGGTGCTCGAGGTGGCTGTTGCTGCTGCCTCGAGGCAGATTTCACCCATGGAAAGAAGCTTTGGCTTTTGAGAGGTGCAAGATCGTGAACCAGAAGAGCAAGCTGTGCAGAGGAACTGCATGCCTGGGGAGCGCCGGGAGCGCAGTTTGCCTTTTACCTGCACAGAGGTGTTCACTCTGTTAGATGCAGCGCTGGTAGAATCACCCTGAAATAAATGGAGCCTCTCTCCTGGCTGTGCATCGTCTGTGAACAGGGCTGGGCTTGCTCCAACCACACACCATGAGGCTCTTCTTGCTAAAGACACACCTTGATGGGTTAGTACAACAGGTGCACAGTCAGCTACCATTGTTCCATGGCTTGTTTTTCTCTCCACCTTCAGCCAACACCTTCTCAACTGCCCTAAAGTAGAATCATGGAATCATTAAGGTTGGAAAAGACCTCCAAGATCATCAAATCCAACCTTTTACTGAATCCCATTGTGCCCACTAAACTGTATCAGGAAGTGCCATGTTCAGTCATTTCTTGAACACCTCCAGGGATGGTGACTCCACCACCACCCTGGGCAACCCGTGCCAGTGCCTGACCACCCTTCCAGGGAAGAAATTATCCCTAATATCCTTAATATTTTCCCTAATATCCGAACCTCCCCTCTTCCAAGCAGGGGAGATTCCCAAATGCATCTGCAGTTTGCAATTGCCTTCCCTGGAGAGGTGAGTCTCCAACAGCATCCATGGACTCCAAGTCATCACTAATCAAGCCATCACCTGAAAAGGAGACATTGCAGGGTACATTTTGACATTTCCAGGGCAGCACTGGAGTCCCAGGAGGTCAGGGAGGCCCTGTGAGAGCAGCTGCAGAAGGTGGAACCCAACAGAGGATGAGGCCCACCCAGCAGCAGAGGGATGGGTGGGAGCACCAGGGACACTGTGGGACATGACATCTGTTTGTGCTGGTCCTCAGTAGCCCAGGGGTTAAACTCTGAATCAGGGAACAGGAGGATAAGCCACCCATCACCCATCACAGCCCTGACCATTCAGTTCCCTTAAGGAACTTGATTGGGCAATCACATCAAAACCTCCTGGGAATGTCAAACATGCTCTTGTCTGGAGAGGCCCTGGAGCCTTGCACGAGACTCTGCCCAGTCCCAAACTCCTAGCATGGAGACCATGGGGTGACAAGGGGGGACAGAGCTGCAGGGGTGCAGCCTTGGGGAGTGGATCTGGTGTGTGCATCTCCACGTGGGCCACCACAGCTCCCCTGCAAGGAGCAGAGCTTGGGACCCTGGTTCAAAGCAGTGGGAAACAGCCAGATGTCCCCAAACCTGTCAGGGCTGCTGTGAGACCCTCCCCTTGCTGGGGATAAGGTAAATAGGGTGGGTGGAGCAGGGATAGTGCATGAAAAGGGTCGATGTTGCTCATTTTCTTGTGTCTCTCCTAGCATGGGGTTAGTCTGGCCCAGCTGTCGTCTCTGCTGTGAGGGGTGGGTTTGGTTTGAGCACTGGATGGGCAGTTTCTGTAGCAGGGACTGCAGGAACACCCCTGCTATCCATGGGCAATCTCTGCTAACAACTCCAGTGCTACAGGAATGCTGAGGGGGGGGAAGCCCCAAACTGGTGTAGGGACATTCCCTGGGCTGGAATGTTAAACAAAAATCTGTTTCCCCCCTGTACTCATGAGGCCCCACCTCAAATCCTGTGTGCAGTTTTGGGCCCCTCATGACAGAAAAGACATTGTGGTGCTGGAGTGTGTCCAGAGAAGGAATGGAAGGGGACCTTCTTGCTCTCTGCAACTCCCTGACAGGAGGGTGGAGGCAGGTGGGGGTCAGGCTCTGCTCCCAGGGAACGAGGGACAGGACAAGAGGAAGTGGCCTCAATTTGCAGCGGGGGAGGTTCAGGTTGGATATTGGGAAAATTTCTTCCCTGAAAGGGCAGTCAGGCAGTGGCCCAGGCTGCCCAGGGCAGTGGTAGAGTCACCATTCCTGGAGGATGGTGACTTGGGGACATGGTTTACTGGTGACCACGGCAATGCTGGGGTAACAGTTGGACTCGATGATCTTAAAGGTCTTTTCCAACTTGAACGATTCTGTGATTCTATGAAAAAAAATATCCTAAATCAGAAATTACATGCAAGAACTGGAGGACAAAGAATTTTTCACTGGTATGAGGAGGAGCTATGATGGGGTAATTACAGAAAGCAATGATATTCCTGCTTCCTAAGGCCTCCCTTTGAGAGCATGGGGATCCTGAGCATGCTGCAGCAGCTCTGAAAGCAAAATGGTTTCTGCCTCCAAAAACAAAGGCAGCTTCCCAGTGACTTGCAGCACATGGTGGAAACTCCCTCCCACCATTACTTGTCAGGGGTTGAGATACTCTGTATTACAGAGTTGAATCCAACCCCATCTCAGTTTCCCTATTTTCTGTGCATACATGTTTGTCTCAGGCAGCTTTAGCAGTGGATTCAGTATCCTTGTCTCTCGTGGGAGCATAAGCACATGGGCTCTCCCCAGCCACTGCTGGAATAAAGTGTCCAGCCTAAGGGAATTGCAAATGGCTCTGTGTGTCAGTCCTCACTTTAGGACTGGCTCAAATCCCACCTGGATGGAGAGCCCTGTTGGCAGGGCACAGCCAGGCAGCACCTGCCCTGAGCAGGGCATGGGAGGGCACAGCGGAGTGAAGGCATGGCCAGAACAGGCACCTGGAGCAGCTCCGTGTGCCCCCCAACCCAGCAGAGCTGAGCAGGGGAAAAACAAGGGGGTTTTAAGGCTGCAGGGCCCAACCTGATGGCTACAGACTGCTGTGGCAGCAGGCTGGATAAAAGTCTCACAGAAACATCCTTCGAGGAAGCCGTCTGTGCCTTTGGGCTGTGTCTCGTTCTCCAGGTGGAAATTTGCTCATCGGCTCCTGGGACATTGCTCGGGGCTCCTGGCACCCACTGCACCCCACACTCCCCACCCTGCTTCTGACACCAAGCATTTCTATCCGCTCCTGTACACCCCACACCCCAGCACACCCAGCTCCCCTGCACCCCCAGTTCTCCTACACCGATCACACCCTGCATCCCTGCACCCTCAGTACCCCAGGACTTCTGCAACCCCAGCACCACTGCACCCCCAACTCCTTCACCCCTGTGCCTTGCATCTCCCCCACCTAGCACTGCCCACATCCCCTGC